CTGGCCTCCCAAGGCCCCGACCTGCCGCGCCACTGGATGAGAGGCGGCGAGGGGGGGGCGCCGGGCCCACAGCCGCTTCCACTGCCGCCTCGGGTGGACATGAAGCGACGTCGGCCCCCCTCCCCCCGGGCGATTCCTCGAGCTGCCCGGCCCTGGCCGTGCCGGCCCCCGCCGCCGCCGCCAGCAAGAAGCAATCCAGCTGCATGAAGCAGCTGACCAACCAGACCGTGGGCAGGCGAGCGCGTCGATCCGGATCGGCAGGAGCCCAGACCAGGCTCGGGCGCGGGAGGGCCGGCTGCTCTCCTGGTCGCGCGCTCTGTCCCTTGCCGCCGCCCCACATCAGGCCTCGGGGTCTGGGCCTGGGGCTGCGCCACGCCAAGACCTGGAGCCCGGCTCGGTGCCGCTGCCCGAGCCCCTGGGGAGCAGCTGGGTGGGTCGGCTGTCCCCGTCGCCCTCTGTCCAGGCCCCACCCAGCATCGCCCTGGGCGCACTGGACCCGAGCCTTCCCCTGCCCTCCCCCGGGCTTTGCCCTGGCTGAAAACTCCGGGAACCAGTGAGCCCCAGGCCGAGCGGACGCTGTGCTCTGCGGGCGATGGCCTCAGGCTTTCCGGGTCGCCCCGCCGCTGTAGACCCTCCACCTCCCAGTGCCTCATGGCACTAAATAAGTAAGGGGCCATCAGAGCCCATCGGATCCGCCTACGAGGTTCGGGCGTCCATCCAGGCACTGTAGAGGTGCCGCTGTCTCCAAAGCCGGGCCCCTGTGGACCGGACTGCCCAAGACCTTGACATTGAGAAATTGGGAACTGCGAGGAAAGAATTGTGGAAACGCCTTGGGACGACTTTTAGTTTAATTTTGAATAGCTTTTGAAAAAGCCTTTCTCCCTTTGGATTTGGGAGCCGATTCTTCTCCAGGTTTCTTTGGGGCTGCTTTAATGCTTGACAGGAAACATGATCGATTATGAAATGACAGAACAGACCGGAATTGGTAGACCATCAGGCTGCTGCAACAGGAACGACGGGTGGTTCTGAGAGCTCCTGCAGGTGACTGTCATGTGCCCCGTTATCTGGGGCACATCTTTCAACGTCTTTGGGGCAGGTGGCTGTACTGGACCTACTCTTTAGGCTGGCAGACATATGAAAGTGTGAGTTTTCCACAGCTTTTGCTTCTTTTTTTCCCCAATAGTGGGGTCAAAAGGGGAGTTCAGTCTGACCAAAGCACGTGTGTGCATGGCACGTCCATCCTGTGTGTTCTCCATTCATAGAGCATTGCAGGGCCACGTGCTCGTCCCAAGATCGAGGACCTTGTGAGCAACCCCACAGTGAGGTTCGGTGGTGCTGTGCGGCTTTCTCGTGACTATCATTGGAAAGTCGACCTCAGAATACTTACCTGGGAGAAGATCTTCATCCTGAGGACAAATACACAGTACGTTTTCTAATTCTGCATTCCCTCATACATTGACCGACCATCTTCATGGACTGAACACTAGGCCCCAAACAGCAAAGGTGGACTTAGCGCCTTAAATTACGAACACTATGGTCAGAAATGTATTTTTTAGGTGACTTTGGTCTCCGCATGGAGAACGGACGGAGGACAAAAGTTAGGAGGATCTCACAGCCATCCAGGAAGAAGGTCCAGGGAAGAAGTCATGGGGAGCCTGAACTGGGGCAGCCGCCACGGGGATGGACACTGAGAGGTGGGGACGCACTGAGAGGTGCTGGGGAAGTAGAACCTAACAGACTTTTCCAAAACCCAGACTGAGACAGATTAGGGAGGGTCAGGAAACCACTGTGGGGGGGGGGCGGGGGGGGAACCAGCATTTAGGGGATCAAATAGGATACAAGAGCAAATATCACAAAGCACCCCACACTGTGAGGGCGAGCACCAGCTTGTGGTACTACTACTTTTTCTGTGAGAGGAGAGCACGGTGGGGGGAAAGGGCCGGCACTCTGGAGCCGGGGAATGGGCTTCCGATCCCAGCTCCACCACGTGTCTGCTGTGAGGCGCTGGAAGTCACTCACCTCCCCGGGCCAAGCGTTCCTCGTCTGCACAGTAGAGAAAGTGATAGCACCTCACGGGGTTGTGAGGATTCCTGAGGAAATACATACACGGGAGACTCTCCCAGCAGGACCTGCCCTAGTAAGCGCCGTGGCTGTGCCTTTATGACTTATGACACGGGACACAGACGTGGGGCCTGAGGTACACACACACCGTGAATCGACAGACCGCAAAGATTCCCCTGAACAAGCACAAGGCCCTGTGTAGAGAACAGGGAAGGAACCCGGACTTGCAGGAGCTGCAGTCCTATTGTCCTGGTTCTGCCACTAACCAGACCCGTCGCCTTTCCCGTCAATGAGCGTAGTTACATACACCTGTTCTTGCCCCCTAACAGAGCAGGTGAGGGACCAAATCAGGGAACAGCTACAAAAGGCCTTTGTTTCATATCACCATCACCCAGCCTTGCACATCCTCAAACCGTACCGAGGACACTGTCATGACGACCATAAAATCATCGTTATCAGACATGGATGGAACTGGAGGGTGTTATGCTGAGCGAAATCAGTCAATCAGAGAAAGACATGTATCGTATGACCTCACTGATACGAAGAATTCTTAATCTCAGGAAACAAACTCAGGGTTGCTGGAGTGGTGGGGGGTGGGAGGGATGGGGTGGCTGGGTGATAAGGCATTGGGGAGGGTATGTGCTATGGTGAGCGCTGTGAATTGTGTAAGACTGTTGCATCACAGATCTGTACGTCTGAAAGAAATAATACATTATATGTTAAAAAAAAAAAGAAGATAGCAGGAGGGGAAGAATGAAGGTGGGGAAATGGGAGGGGGAGATGAACCATGAGAGACTATGGACTCTGAAAAACAAACTGAGGGTTCTAGAGGAGAGCGAGGTGAGAGGATGGTGTAGCCTGGTGATGGATATTGGGGAAGGCACGTTCTGCACGGAGCACTGGGTGTGATGCACAAACAATGAATCACGGAACGCTACATCAAAAACTAATGGTGTAATGAATGGTGAGTAACATAACATAATAAAAAAGGAAACCTCTTCCTTATCGTCAATATGGCAGATGCAGGGGCTCTGGGTCTCACAATTCCACTGGCAGGGCTCTTCCACACGTGCTGAGGACATGTCTACAAGGACTTTTTTTTATCATAACCCCTGTTGCAACAGCAAAGGATGGGAAGCCAGGCACCTATCCTTCAGCGAGGCCCTGGGGACATCACGTATGTGGCTGAGGGTGGCAGCAGGTGCAAGCAGCTGGGGACAGGGGCGCGAGACAGGCAGTCACTGCATTCCTTCTGAATATATTTTTAACATTTTTGAACCAGGCGGGCACCTTCACGAATGAAACAATTCGGGAAAGAAGAAGGGGAATTTTCATTTACCTTTAATCTCCAGAAGGTGGTATCTACCCCAGCCCCAAGATTTAGAATTTGATAATGACATTCTGTCTTCCGTAGAAATGCCTTCAGCAGCTGGCTGATGCCATGGACTCGAGCAAAATATCCCGAGAGACAGAGACAAGCTATCGCTCAGTCAGGTTGGAAATCATCCCTGCAGAGCCCAGCCCAGGAGAAGAGCCAATGAGGACTCTTCTGCTCTTCTTTGGGGTCAGCGGTTTATCTGTGGACTTCATGGGAGAAAGAGTGACTTTCACATTCTCTTGTTTTTTGTTTTCGGTTATGTTAATCACCATATAGTGCTTCAGTAGTTTTTGATACAGCGTTCCATGATTCATGATTTGCGTGTAACACCCAGTTTTTTTTTTTTAAAAAGCTGTTTGAACTCAAGTAAGTACAATCTACTTGATGGTGGAATTAACCATCTTAAAAAAAAAAAAAGTCCCATAATTTTACATAAGAAAGACAAGGGTTTTACATGAAAAATCAGATCTAAATGTTCCTCTTGGAAATGTACTTTCTCTTGGTTAGGTGTAAGCCTCTCAAGACTCTGTGAAAACTCAACAATGCGAGATCATGACGAAAATAAGATTCTGGGGTCAGGAAATGGGGCAGATAAATGTCAAAGCAAAAAAAAAAAAAAAAAAAGAAAAGAAAAGCCGTATTTCCACCACGTTCCCTTCCTCTCCATCCTGTGTGGGTAAGAGCCCCTGTTTATAAAGTGGCCTCATAGACCGTCTGCGGGAGGGGAAGGCATGAGCAAACGTTGCCGAATAAATGGACTGGTTCAGCTGTGGGTTGGGGAGCTGGAGTGAAGGCGATGAGGAATAAAAGGGGGGAAAATGGAAAACAGTATCTGTTCTAAGTGGGGGAAATGGAAGATAATATCTGTTCTAAAGCCCTGTTGCTTAAAGTATAACTACTTTAAGAACAAAATTTCAGTAGCATTTAGAAACTTACTGCAATGTGACATAGGAATTCTACGTCTATTGATTCTCCTCATAAATAACTTGAGCTTCTATTTGATGTGTCTCTTGCATTTTATCTTTCTAGGAAATCATTTTTCATGTATGTTATAGAATATCGTCCACAACAGAGAGATTATTGGAACAAAACTTTAAAGATGCTCACCACATGTTGCCTGGGAAGCCCTCTCCTAGGGGGTCCGGTCTGGAGATGCCAGCCCATGCAGAGGAAGAAGGAAGGAAGGCCGGCTGACACCCTGCCTGGGGCGTCTAGCTCCCAGGGCCCCAACTTGGGTTCCCACCTCTGTAGCCCTGGTTAGGAAAGCTGCCTCAGGAGCCTGGGAGAGAGGATTTCAGGCCTCTTAGCCAGGCCTGGCCCCATCTCCCTGATGCCTGGGTTCACCCTCAGCTCCAAGTAAGGTCCATGTCCTTATTCTCAGGAACCACCACTTTGCACTTTCTTTCCATTTCTTACAGAATCTACCCATAGGCTCCATCTTTAGGGTGAGGATTCCCTGCATGCCCAAGGACTGTGGTCATTTGGTCACTTTCTCAATCTGACTAAGTCACCCTCCCATCTCAAATCCCTTCACTGCCTTGATAGAAAGGACTTCAGAGCCTAACAGTGTTACTATCATTTTACTAAGGTCAAGAAAGGAATTCCTTACTTGACCAGACAGTTCACTGTAAAAGATAATATAAATGGCTCTTAAACATATAAAAACGATCTTCAACTTCACCCCCCAAAATAAGAGGAATATAAAATAAAATGACGGGGGCACCCGGGTGGCTCAGTCGTTAAGCCTCTGCCTTTGGCTCAGGTCATGATCCCAGGGTCCTGGGTTCGAGCCCCGCTTCGGGCTCCCTGCTCCTCGGGAAGCCTGCTTGTGTTCCATCTCTCACTGTGTCTCTCTCTGTCAAATAAAGAAAGAAAATCGGTAAAAAAAATTATACAGTAACATTACTGAAGACACCATCTTTCACATATCAGATTAACCACGATGAAAAGGTTTCTAATACACCGTGCTGGTGAGGATGTTGGGAAATGAGCACTTCCATTCGCCACTGGAGAGAATGAACACTGGAACTCCCTCTTTTGAAGAGTGAATCCCTAAAAGCTCATCTACCTCAAAAGGCCAACAGAGGCACGTCTGGTACTCCATTACAAATGTCGGCAGACTCAGCCATCCGTCTTGGTGCTCGCACACATGGCCCGTCACCGTCCCCACGGCAGCCATTTCTTCCCTTTCTTTACTCGTGCGCCTACCTCCTTCCCCAAGACCCTAGACAGCACAGAACCTCACCTCATCCCTCACCTAGAAAACCTGCCACCACTTATTCCCTCAGCAAACCCACGGGTGAGAGCCAGTCAGAGAACTCTGCTCGACCGGAAGTTCTGTGTCCATAGGAAAGGAGATCCAGGATCGTTCCGGAAAACTCACGAACGACTACCTAAGTATTTCCCCCGGCTCTGGATTAGGAACCGGTCCTTCCACACCCTTTAAGCAAGTCCTAGTGGGAAAACCAGGAACAAAGAAACACAACAGCCACAACCTAGAAAATGTTATAGTAGCCTTCACTTTCTGGTCTACACTATAACCTGGAAAATGCTATGGTAGCCTAAACTCTCCCCGGTCTACACTACAAGGAACCAAACTTTCAGTGTTCTAAACCAGGGAGCTGAAGCCCAGATTACCACTGAAGGGCTTCTGACAACCGTTGAGGGAACCAGCCTTAGGACAAGGAGAAGTACTGGAAGGACACTGCATCCCTAAAACCATGCGAAGCCCCTGTGGGCCTATAGCCTGCTCTGCCCCTCATCGGATAATGTGAATTAATAAATGCCCCTCATGTGAATTAATAAATGTCTTTACCATTTCAACCAAATGGAGGGGCAGCTGGGTGGCTCAGTCAGTTGAACGGCCAACTCTTGGTTTAGGCTCAGCTCAATTGTGTCCATATCAATTAGATCTATGGCAGAGAGTACATCCTCCGGTTCTTTCTTTTGTTGTGAATTCCTCCTTCTATTCCTTTTGCCCAGAGAAGAATGGAGGAACAAGAGAGCAACATAAAAAATATCAACCACGACGCAAGCAAATACACACTAGTCAAATCCGAAGAGGTCAGAAACCAAAAAAGAGAAGAAAAAAGAAATGTGGGGGGTGGCTGGGGGGTGGGAGAAGAGAGAATATTATCTCCCAGGTGGTCAAACCTCCATGAAATCCTGGGTGTATTTTGGCCTGTTTGTTAAAAGACACTAAATCCCAGAAGTGTAAAATCACCAAGGTTACATATATACAGACATAAAATTGAATGTAGCAGAAGGAAGCAAAACTGAAGACTATCTCTAAAAAATGGAAATGTAGAAAATGACAATCAAAAACGACTTAAAATGAAAGAGTTGATAAAATAAGAAACTAGTTGGGAAGAAAAAAAGAAAAGGAAAATTTTAAACTGCAAGATAAACGAATCATGAAATAACCTTTGAATTCAATTTACTGTTTTCCCCTAGTGCTGGAGTTTTGCACTCCTGTGGGCTCCTAAACTTCTTCCCCTGTTCTTCCAGCTGCTTTGCTCGGGGAGTGGCCTGCTGTGCTGACCCTCAGGTGTCTTGGCCTGGGGGGAGTTGTACCCCCCCTTGCAGGGGGGGGGGGGGGGCGGGCTCAGTGTAAACTGCTTGTAGTTGCTCTATGTGATTCTATTCCCCGAAGGCTCTCTGGGCCACTTGAGAGGATGAAAAGAAAAATGGCCACGCCCCGATTTCCAGGCCCGGAGCGAAAAGATCGAGGTCCCCTCTCTTCAGTAAACTGTCAGGGATAAGCGGTCTTCAGTTTTGTGTGTGCCAAAGTCTGCAGGCTCCTGTGGTGAGGGCCTGCACCGATCCTCCTGGGAGAAGGCAGAGGGGCGCCGCCTTGTCTGCCCTGTGCAGGACCCGCATACAATAGCTGTCACCCAGATGAGCCGTGGTTCGTGGTTTATGGCAAACTGAGTTGAGAACCCCCCCTGCTCCCTGACCCTAACCAGTTTCCCCACTCCAGTGCCTGGGAACTCTGCCGGCTCAAGCACCCCTGTTCTTCCTGTGACCCCAGGGATCCTGAGGTCACACTGTCCCACCTTGGATGCTGCCCCACCTTGCCACCAGAGCACCTTTCAGGCAGGGCTATCTCTTAGCGGAGAAGATTTCTAAAGGTTCTGATTTTGCGCTCTGGGGCTGTATCACTTGCTTGTGGCCGGCTTACACAGGCTCCCTCTCCCCGCAGAGGATCTTCCCATATATCCCCGCAGATTCACTTCTCCGCACCTCTTACTTTGCAAAAAGTGGTCACTTGTCTATTAGTAGAATTCCAGCAATTCCTTCCTTACATCTCAGGTTGAATTCAGAGGTGTCCAGGATGATTTGATAGTTATCTAGCTACATTCAAGGGACCAGATGAAACGAGCTCCCCTACCGTGCCACCATCTTGCCTCCCTCCTTCGATCTCTTCCTTTTGTTTTGAAAGATTTATTTATTTTAGAGAGTGAGCGGGGGAAGGGGCAGAGGGAAAGAAAAATCCTGAAGCAAGCAGACTCCCCGCTGAGGAGTTACTGCAGGCCCTGAGGAGAAAGAGAGAGAGAGAAAGAGGGACAGAAGGTATATATGAACAAATCATAGCTGAGAACTTTCCTAATCTGGGGAAGGATACAGGCATACAAGTTCAAGAGGTAGAGAGAACCCGTTTCCAAATCAATAAAAATATATCAGCACCCTGACATACAGTAGCGAAGCTTGCAAATTTCAGAAATAAAGAGAAAATCCGGAAAGCATCTCAAGACAAGAGGTTCCTGACCTAGACGGGTAGGAACATTAGGCTGGCAGCAGACCTATCCACAGAGATCTGGGAGGCCAGAAAGGGCTGACATCATCTATTCAGGGTACTAAATGAGAAAAACATACAGCCAAGAATACTTTCTCCAGCAAGGCTGTCATTCAGAATGGAAGGAGAGCTAAAGGGCTTCCTGGACAAATAGAAACTGAAAGACTATGGGACCACTAAACGAGCCCTGCAAGAAATACTAAAGGGGGGGACGCTTGGGTGGCTCAGTCGGCTAAGCATCTGCCTTCAGATCAGGTCATGATCCCAGGGTCCTGGGATCGAGCCCCGCACTGGGCTCCCTGCTCCGCGGGAAGCCTGCTTCTTCCTCTCCTACTCCCCCTGCTTGTGTTCCCTCTCTCGCTGTGTCTCTCTCTGTCAAATAAATAAAATCTTAAAAAAAAAAAAAAGAAAGAAAGAAATACTAAAAGGGATCCTCTATGCCAAGAGAGAGCCCAAAAGTAACACTGGACCAGAAAGAAAAAGATCTACAGAAACAGGGACTATACAGGTAATACAACGGTACTAAACTCATCTCTCTCAATAGTTACTCGGAATCTAAATGGGCTAAATGCTCCAATCAAAAGACACAGGGTAGGGGCGCCTGGGGGGCTCAGATGGTTAAGCGTCTGGCTTCGGCTCAGGTCATGATCCCAGGGTCCTGGGATCGAGCCCCGCATCGGGCTCCTGGCTCAGCGGGGAGCCTGCTTCTCCCCCTCTCCCTCTGCCTCTCTCCCTGCTCATGCTCTCTCTCGCTCTCTCTCTCTCTCCCTGTATCTCTGTGTCTCAAATGAATAAATAAAATCTTCAAAAAAAAAGTCATCATTTAAAAAAAAAAAAAAGACACAGGGTATCCGACTGCATAAAAAAGCAAGACCCATCCATATGCTATCTACAAGAGACTCATTGTAGAACTAAAGACACCTCCAGATCGAAAGTGAGGGGGTAGAGATCCATTGATCACGCGAATGGACCTCAAAAGAAAGCTGGGGTAGCAATCCTCCTATCAGACAAATTAGATTTTAAACCAAAGACTGTATTAGGGGATGAAGAAGGATGCTATATCATACTTCAAGGGCCTACCCAACGAGAAGATCTAACAATTATAAATATATATGCTCCTAACTTGAGCAGCCAATTACATAAACCAATTAAGAACCAAATGAAGGAAACACGACGAGAATCATACAATAACTGTAGGGGACTTCAACACCCCACTCCCAGCAATGCACAGATCATCTAAGCAGATGATCAACAAGGAAACAAGGGCTCTGAATGACACACTGGACCAGATGGACTTCACAGGTACATCACAGCATGCCATCCTAAAGCAACAGAATACACATTCTTCTACAGGGCACATGGAACATTCTCCAGAAGAGATCCCATACCGGGGCACAAATCAGGTCTCAACCGATACCAAAAGATTGGGATTATTCCCTGCCTCTTTTCAGACCACTATGCTTTGAAACAGGAACTCAGTCACAACAGGAAATAGGGAAGGAACTCAAACACTCGGAGGCTAAAGAGCATCCTACGAAAGAATGAATGCATCAACCAGGAAATCAAAGAAGAATTAAAGATTTCATGGAAATGAATGAAACTGAAAACACAGCCGTTCAAAACCTTTGGGATCCAGCAAAGGCGGTCCTAAGAGGAAAGTACATAGCAATACAAGCTTTCCTCAAAAAATCAGAAAGTCTCCAATACACAAGCTAACCTTACGCCCAAAGGAGCCGGAGAATGAACAGCAACTAAAGCCGAAACCAAGCAGGAGAAGAGAAATTATAGAGATTAGAGCAGAAAACAATGAAATAGAAACCAGAAGAACAGTAGAACAATCAATGAAACCAGGAGCCGGTTCTTTGAAATTATTAATAAGCTTGATGAACCTCAAGCCACACTTATCCAAAAGAAAGGGGAAAGGACCCAAAATAATAATGTCATGAATGAAAGAGGAGAGATCACAACCAACACCAAAGAAACACAAACCATCTTAAGAACACACACAGCAACTATAGGACAACAAATGAGGTCACCTGAAAGAAATGGATGCGTTCCTG